TATATATATCAAGAGCTTCAAATTATGTGGGCATGTCGCATAGAGGTGATTTCAAAATTGTCGAAACAATCGGAAATCGTGACTGAAAAGCTCTCAAAAACGATTAACGAACGATTCACGAAACGTGAAAATGCACTGAATGAAAGTCATTCGAAAACGAGACACGACCATCCAATAATAACGCAATATGCATGACAAAGCAACGCAGCCATAGCATTTATAATGTACACTGATGTCAACAATTATCATATTTCTCGAACTCACCTTCAGCTGTTACGAACGTTAAATAAATGAAGCAAACTATGAATACTGTCGAGCAACAACGAATACTGTACAATACCACGATTGAAGATGAGTTCAAACAATGACAATAACAAATACGCTCATTTTATCGACAGGCACACCGCTCTAACCACAAAAAATGTACTAATAACCACTTATTCTACTAATGATCGGTTTGTAGATTTGTTCGGCCGCTTCAACACCCCAAACATAGTCAAAATGATTGAAATTCACAAGACGATTACTTTCGACAAGGTATTCAGGTCGCATTCGATCAATGATACTGTTCTGAAGCAAAGTCGAGATTGGTGAGTGTTAAGCACACGTAATAATATGTGGAGTGAATGAGAACATTACCTTGATATCACGTTCATCTGTAAACCAATCTGCGTCACTCCAGTATATGTAAGTTGGTGTGGAAATACGATCGAATTCGTAGACTGGTGGCTTGGGCTGAATATACCACATGAAATGTTTTATGCACCATTGGCTTTACGAGCGATTGATTCAGTAATTTTTGATAGTACAACGAGCATTGCCCAATAATCTCAGGTAGTAGAAATGGTACGACGATTCGAAAATGAGAAGGATGGATTTGAAAAAATTGGAAAAATTCCTCAGGAATACATTCTCGGATAAATTGCTTTTACCGTTCCATAATGGAAAATGTTCAATTGTTCGGTACCAAAATCAAACATTCGCAAATGCTCAGTATCGGCCAGTTGAGTCCAATGAATAAGATTTGCAGTTGAAGTCCCACCAGGAATGTGAGTTAGATAAACTGACATTCGAGTCTAAAAACTCATCAGTAGGGACTGAACTGCTAAAATACGATGATCTCACCGAAAATTTTTCACAAAATTTTTCAACCTCCAACGAAACTGTCATATATTTTCGTTTCTGTAAGGATCCAGTTGCTCAGTGCATCCATATCTATTCAAATAAGGTTTCAAGAAGCAAACGATATGAATACGATGCATCAAGAAGGATATTCACCTGATTTACTTGGTTCGTGATTTCACCACCAATTTGAAGCAGCAAATAGTCACAAATAGCGGTCATCGATGGATACGTATAAAGATAACGAGTGAGTTTTCCAAAGAAACCGAAGTTCGACATGAATTCTGTGCTTAAAAGTGATAAGATCTGAAATATTTCATAGCCGTTAAAATGTTTTGTTGTAGAGCTATTAATGTATGTGGCTGTTGAAGGGGCGTCAATGAATTTGGTTCGGGATGAGCACTCGAGTGCATAATAATTGGAGCATGATTGGATCAGGGTTAGCATCAGTATCGGGAAATCAATTTCTCAGCTCATCAATATCTGTCGATAGCGAGTGAGAGCGATTTGCAAAATTTGCTCGTATCTGCTCTACACTCCAAATGCAAGTAAGGCAGTCTTGTGTTGTTCTCGCGCCAACTGATTAATGCATCAAAAGAATTTTGTGAGAATATCGCTAACTTGCAAAGGCGTTTTTAAATGGTTTAAAACGAATGCGACAAGACCACGCGCATGCACCATTGATGTCATTGGACCGAGAGCGAAAAATTTCGAAACCTGAAAAGACGTATCGAAATGAAACGTTTATAAAGTTCAATGTGCTAAGTAAGTGATACCATTTATTAAGTGATACCTTTGCTGAAAACGCTGGATCAATGGCCAGTTTTGCGAGCATCGTAACACACCCTTCCGAATACCCCACATAGGAGAGTTGCTTCTGACCGCTCACATTCAACGCCTTATCAATCATTGTTTCAAGATCGTATTTTGATATTTGATCGAACCTGAAATTCATTTATTTATTCAATGACTAATTCTCCTCGAAAACCGCTGAGAACAAATCATTATGTTGATTAGTATTTGCACATTAATGAGGACACTTTCAACGTTCATTGGTTATGGCTTTTGAATTCTTTCTGCATTCTTGCACGGCACAGTGATCCAGCGATATCATAACCTCTCATGAAACTCACGTAAATTTCCAGTATTCATCATCGTTCCGAGTGAACCGATTATGCTCTTGTGAATACGTATTGCCTCGAGCATTACCCATCCAAACGTCAAAGCCGCTATCTGCGAACACGAACCCTAAAATGTTGCATTATCACTTATCAAATTTCCTCACAATCAATATTCGAATGAGATCTTAAACTTCAGCAAACACTTTCTTATAGGACGAAAGCAAATTTCGTCGTTCCACTTCATCAGATGAAAGCATCCCAGAAGTGTTCTCTGAAGAAAGAACCTGCAGACTGTGATGGTAGATTAGTGACCCATGTTGCACTCGATCCAACGAAGCCGTGTTGTAGGAAGATAACTGGACGCCGATGATATTTATTCTTTCCGTTTTCTGTAATTTAAGATTTATTTATACTGTGTGAATTGACAGTCAGACAATTTGACAAGAAGTTCATCAGATAATGGGAATCAAGCCCAGAGCAAGAAGGTGCAATTTTCGTACACTTCCTCTAGAAGGCGATGATAATATCAAAATTTGCAGTTGTGCTTAAAGGTACTTCCAACTGCGACTTTTTTGCGATTAGGTCTAAAATTATTACCGTTGACACCGAACGGAATTCGATGGAGTAGCAAATGATAGCCATCAGTTGTTGTTGCAATGTGCTCTTCTATTGGATAACCGTGATATTGCACCAACTCGATCTGAAATACCTCCGAGTAAATTTGTGTGAAACTGTAATGGTGATGTATGGCTACGAGCTCTGTTGATGAATTCAATTGAGCGCCCACTGCTTCTTACTATGAAGAATCATTGAAAGATATGTTCGCATGCAATTGCAAGTTCCTAAAGCGAGATCTATCAACCATATTTCAATGTTATGCAATGGAAATCGTTCGCAGTCGAGCGATGAAGTTAGCCATCCGAAAATGTTGAATCTTCATCGAAAGCACAGATGTGTCCACAAAAACAAGTAGAATGAGCATGTAAAATCTCACTATGTTCATATCGGTTTCAGGCAACTGCCATGAGGATGAATCGCACACAAAATAGATGATTAATAGGAACGCCCTTATGGCAGTCATTGTCTGCAATTCACATGTTCAGAAATAGCTAAATTTCGCAAAACTTTTTGCCATACTGTACTCTGCTGTACAATTGATTCTCTTGCTATGGTTTATTCTATTGCTGATTTGATATGACACTGCAATTCCTATAGGCCATCGTTATCAAATAGAAATGCCAAAGCATCTGTTCGGTAATTTGTAGGTAATGCAGGATCAGTGGGATTGAATAAAATTAAGCTTTTATCACTTCAGTTCGAGCTAGGAAGTGATTTTGCGTGTTTACTGATAACATTTGATAGCGATGATCATTGCTCAGAAATACTGATACCATGATAAGAGCTGAATTTTGTGTAAAATGATCTGTGGTCAGCAATGCACAAAATAAATTATAACTAAGGTACGAGACTAACCAATTCGATTCAGTGTGAGCTAATTTCAGGTAGAACGAGTGATAAAAGAGATTAGATATGTTAACTGTTTCCGCGGTTATAGACTGCTCACAGCCGTTTAAGGCAGCCAAACTGAAACAGTCATGAATTGCCTGAGGTAGCAGATCAATCGAGCGTGAGCATCACATCGAGCTCACGCTATCACATACCGAAAGCGATTGATCTGTGAAAACTACCAAAAAGCCGTAATGAATATAAGAAGCCAGTGAACGGGAGTCACATAAAAATTTTCCAAAATTAGAGCGTCATAACTGATCAGATCTCGAAACATTCGCGGTGCTCAATGCATCAACTTTTCGAAGGGTATCGATAGCGCAGGTTTCTAGCAATGAAAAGCTTCCACACGCATTTGATGAGCATGTAAGAATAAATAAAAACGTTCAATTCGGAACGCACCAACCGCTCGTCAAGAAAAACTATCATATACTTCCGTTGTTTGCAAACTTTTCTTATCACCAAAACGATTCATAATTTACCAGTAAGCAAACATTATCAATCAACAACATCGTAAAGCGAATCGCATTATCATTATCTCTATGATAAATCAAATAGTGAATACATTATTCAAGATCTGCACATATTCTCACAATATTCTATTTCGACCGCCAAAGATAAGTGTTTACCAAAGTATTGTTTGCGTTTTCAGCGGATAATTCCCCGACTTGTCAAACACTTCAGATAATTTGATAACGAATAGATGATAAGACGCACTCAGACGCATCGTAGCAATAATCGATCTTTGAGTTACGATGTTTTTTTATTGAAATATCCGTGTCGTTAGTCAACATTTCTAAGGGATTTGGACTAACCTGCAAAAGATCAAGAACATGTTAGTAGTTGATTGAAACGTTATATGAAATTAGGCGTTTATTATGATCATCATAGCGATTATTTGATCACTACTATCACTTTGCCATAATCAGTTTATCATTTTACCTTAAGGTAGTATTGTTGACAAAGCATTACCTGCGCAACTTGAGATATGTTCTTCTTTTTGCCAACAATCTGCCTTACTGCACATCAGCGTCTTATTTCTGATGTCAACAGCATTACATTACTGTTTCGATTCACTTATTATCCGATAAATGAGGACAACCTCTAGCAATTAAGCCTTCACTTGTCGCATTGTGCATGCTCGGATTTTCGCTCGTTTATTGACGCTCGACGCTTTCTCCAGCACATCCCACACATTCCTAAACTAATTTTGGTTATTTTACTTCTATATCTCTATCCAGTTTCAATATAGCTCGATTCTAATTTGAGCCATTAAGTGATGAGTTCAGAAATATGCAACGTCATCTAATTAAGGTTGCACCCTAATTGATATTCGTATGAAGGAAATGGGCATATCTAATGCATTTGCGCATCACCGAAACAAAACAGTATTAATCTGAAATAGTGACATCACTATGATGTCACTATTTCAGAGTAAACAACTTGTTTTGAGAGCAGCGCTCATGAGAATAAATTCTCGACGAATGAATGTTCTTTGCTCTTTACACACAACAAATTTATGACCACGCTCGCCTATTTATCCCATTGTATTCACATCATCGTTTCAACGGAGAGCATTTAAGATGACCTCTAACAAGCAGCAATCAAATTTCTACTGGCCAATTGCAAATTCGTCATTATTGTATTCAGCAGAATGCTCCCTTCTTCGAACACAACGCATCTGTCGTCATGTTGAGAGTAGCGGTCAGGAAATAAATGCTTTCTCGATGAATGAGTGTTCTATGATGTGTTGTGCACAAAACAAGTTTGTTCGATTCAGCACGAGTGGCATCGCAATCTCATTCACTAGATTATTGCCACTATCATAATTCATGGTCTGTGTGCAGTCAGTCGTTCGAGATGAGATCCCGTTATCAGATCATGCTTTTGACGGTCAATTCCAATTTCTTTTTTTAGTGTGTTCACTGAGCTGTCAGCAGAACGTTGCATTCATTCTTTACAAACAACACAACTGTTCACTTCATTCTTCTTTCTCGATGTTCTTTCTGTTCCACTCTTTATTTGATGTTGCTGTCTTATCCGATCAACGAATATTATCTTTCTTCATTGTTTCCGTCCAAATAAACATACAAGTTTATGTTTAGCATAGCTTTGCACGAATTCAGATCTGCATCCACAAATCTTTGCAAATTGCTTTCTTGATTCGTTGAACTCTCTGAAGCAATCACGGCTTGAGTGAGTCCCACTCAAGCTATAAGCAGCCATTGCTGAATTGGATGTAATGTTTGCTGATAGTTTTTATTTCGAAATTTGATCCCCTCTCATACTTTCAGTCGAGTTCTTAAGTTGAATCGATGAAGTCTTTCAGTGACAGAACTTAACGATCTTGTCGAGTAGAAGAAGCATCTATATTGATTCTGTCTGGCTTGTAAGCTGTTATGTGAATTTATCCTTCGTTATCAAATACTTTTATCCTTCGTCGTCGAAATATTCGTCCGATTAAACCTAAGAACAGTTAAGACGTTATTCAAAGACATTAATAAAGAAGTAACTCAATGTTTGCCTATTATTAACAATCAGATATTTTTTTAATACCGGTTGCAGTGGCATTCCGAACACATCTACTGATATTGCATCGACCGCTGTTTTTTTAAAAAAGAAATTCGTTCGCTTTTACGTACGCTTTCAACTGAAAGGTTTTTCAGTTAATATCAAAAACAAAAAGTCGTTATTTGATAACTCATTTTTGGACTATGATGTGAAATGATCGTGAATTCCACTCGCTCTTATCAGAGCTGCTTACAAGTCAAAGTTTGGTTCTTAGTTGTCTCTAGTGATCGCTTATCAGTAAGATATATACCAACAGCAAAGCAGCATTAACAAATCAATTCGTATTGTTTTCTGCTTTGGTGTTGCATCATCAATGGTAATGATAAGGATAATAATATAATCTTAATCACTGTCATTGTCTCGGAACAGATGTCTAATAGCGGTTCTCACAAAGATTTGATTAAATGAATCTGTGTATTTGCCGTGACAATGTCACAAAATGGTCCAAGAAAAGATTTATTTTTTCGGTGTAAATAGCCTCATGAAAGCATTCATCAGTAACCAAATATTATCGTTTGCTTGTTGTGACGACTGAATGAAATAATTGTGATTATCTGTTGTGTGCAAAATAAAGGTAAGTATTTGAATGACATTTGAATCGGGAATACGCAGTGCTGGAATAATAAGTGATGCTTGCTAGGGATTGATTGAAAGACGTCGGTGTGGATGTGTATAAACGATCAACATCGATCTTCCAACTGTCCATTCAACTGCTATCGATCTGATTGGTTGTGTGCAGCTATGTTGTGTTTTAGCTGGTTGTGAAGTGGAACTTTTTTGCGAGGAAATGAGATAAAATTCGTGTGAGAAAATACCAAACAGTTTTTGTATTTTTTTGAGTGTATCAGTTGATAACGGTTGAAGTGTGACGTTAGTGAAAGTTTAAGTGTCCTTTAGAGCCATTCAGATCAAAAATATGTTTTGCACATAATTTATCACCTCTCTTATTTCTTTGCTGTGTACCCATTAGTACTGTCGTTTTATCGATCGCCTTTATTCCCCCTCGACATCGAAACGAAGCAAAAACATGACCAATGTGCTGCGAACAAAATGAAATGCTTTCCTCAAAAAAGAGTGCAAAAAAATTTCGTTCCGAAAAATTACTGACAATCCATTAGGCAGGCACTAAAATTAAGCCTTTAGCTTCTAAACTTCCAGTAGCTATGAACTAAATCTGCAGTTGACACAGCAAAGAGTGAAACGATCTCATTCCGACAAATTCAGGTTTATAGTTTACCTCGAGATTTTATAAGGCAAAACATTCTCGAAGCGTGAAGTTCTGACGAGTTGAACGATAATAACACGCGCTGTTAATGTGCTGATAACTTCGGTAGCTGATCGTAGAGAAGAGAGCGTAGAGCCGTTGAGTGTTTTCACAAAAATGTATTGCTTCAACTTTTGCCCTTTTCTTGTCGAACTCGGAATGGTTNTTCCATGATGCCGCTCATATGACTTAGCATAGTTCTTGAAATCATCAAAAAAACGCTCGCTTATTATCCACTTTGCACATGTCAATATCTCTTCGCTTTATTTCTTTATTCCTAAACTCCAATTTCCCTTTTGTGCAAAAACTTTCAAAATGCCATTATTTTTCCTAATCAAATCTGTTTTCAAAAGATTGGTTCGTTGCCTGGATTGCCTGGTTTGACTGGATTGCCTGGTTTGACCAGCCGACAACATTGCGCTTTAACTTTTTTTTACCAACTCCTCCCTTCCATCTTCTTCAGGGTCTATCCAGTGGTCTTTTCCGTTGGGTACCATTCAACAGCTGTGCAATCCATCCACCAG